CTCCTGCTGCTGATCACTGTATTGTCTGGTCCAGACTCAAATTTTTACAGACCGCCGCCAAATAGCTGGAATATTGCTGAGTGCAGCGAAAAACTAAACTCACTCGCTCACTCTTCCCTCAGTATGATATCAAACAACACTGACACACTGTGTAATGTAAATTCAGTTTGTTTATTGTGTTTATATGAATACACTGAACATCAGGTAATATAGTATCAAACATGGCAGAAGGCTTTGAGCTATGTGTATCCAATACAACAAGCAACAATTAAGTTGAGGCACAGGTTGAGACATAAAGATAGTCCTTAGCTAAACAGCAGCAGTAGAGAAGCAGCTCAACCTACACTGATCCCAGGAGGGATGTACACACAGAAACATCATTACAAGAATAGGTACTATTTATCTTTGACAAGCACTGTTCAAAAGCATGGTGGTTATATTTCTAATAGTTTGCTTAGCAAGAAGATGATTGACAGTGATTTGATAATAACTAAGCATTTGCCCTTCAGGATCATATAATGGGACACATGGTATTGGTCGTGTGATTGGTCATTACATGTGTCATGAGAAGATAGTCTACTTGATGAAAGAAATGCTACTAGCCTAGCATATCCATTTTGACATGTGCTCATCAGCAGGTGGACATTGCATAGAAATATTACAGGTCTACTACATCTACCATTGGTCTCTGACTGAGTGGGTGCACCTCAGCTCTACTGGATCTACTATTGGTGAGAAATTGGGCATGTGCTGCTGAGCTTTTCTGCATCTACAACAGGTCTTAGACTGGGCAGGTGCTTGTCTATTCCACTGATCCTTCCATTGATCTCGGACAGATCAGGTACCGGTAGTTCTGAGCTCAGCTGCATCTACCATGGGTGTCAGACTGGGTGATTGTGGCAGGTGCTATTCAGCTCTACTACATTACAACCATTAGTCTCATACAGGCCTGCCATACAGTTTCTACCCTGACTGGGAAGGTGCTTACATCCCTTCTCTACTTTTGGATGCTACTAGACATGTTGCTATGGAGACACTGTTGCAGCATGAATAAGAATAAGAGGTGAAACAAGTCCTTCTGTGAACGACCTTCATGAAACCTGAACAAATGTCAGGGGAAGATCCTTCAATACTTGACAACATATGCACATCAGCAAAATATCTGATTGTTTTTGGCAATGGTGTTTTTGAGCACTACACAAAATTCAGTACATGACTTAAGTATTATGATGCAAGATGAAAATTTGATTATTATCTCAGCTATTTTTCGCCGTTCTACATGTGGCCCCAATAAGGCAGCCTCCTTTATCCAGTGTATTTTATCTCCATTCAGTTGTGGAAGATTCTCTTGAATCTCTGCCCTATTAACTTTGTTTTAGAAGTGACTTCACCATTCCTTCGTTTATAAAATTTTCATAGAATTCCCTCTGTTATTCAAATTAGATTCGAAACTAAGCTTTGGCACAGAATGGGTCAGGGGTAGGTAAGTATCAAAAGAGAACAAACAGCAGGTATTAATGAAGCAAGAGCTATCATATGGACAAATGCATGCTTTTTTAGTCTTTCTTTGACATAAATATTTCATATGAGGTCAACCAGCTACTCCTGTGTCAAAATGAAGCGTAAAACTTCAGATGTCATGGGTAAAAATGTAATCCATGTAGTGAAGAAATCACTGAAAGATGCCTGATGATAATGGAAGAGTTCATGTTAATTGTGGGTTCAACTGTTTGGCTGAAATTGTTTGTTTATAAACAGAACCATTGAATGATATCACAGGAATTATGCTGAAGTAAATTACACTGGGTAATGGAAGTTGCTATGTCAGATTGTCCACATTGCTGGAAGATTTGGTGTCGTGGAAGACATCGCTGACTGATCAGCAACAGGTAATTTATGACTCTGTCATCTCAAGAAGAAGATCAAAATATGTACAAGAAAATTTCAGCTCTGTGACAAAAACAGTGGTATGGAGAATTGAAGGTGTAGGGAGTAAAAAAGTGGTCAAGTATGCAGCCTGTTACCCTGGCCTCATTAAGATACGTGAGCACTATGTACTGGTCGTACACTAACGGTTCACGTTGACAAAAGACATACAAAGCAACAACAAAAATATGTATATCCCAGAGACACACATCACAAATGCACAAGAAAAGTGCAGAGAGTTGATGGTCATCACTCACAAATACACATTGACAGGGTAGGGGATGGTTGACATTGACAGGGTAGGGGATGGTTGACATTGACAGGGTAGGGGATGGTTGACATTGACAGCGTAGGGGATGGTTGACATTGACAGGGTAGTGGATGGTTGACATTGACAGGGTAGGGGATGGTTGACAGGGTAGGGGATGGTTGGCATTGACAGGGTAGGGGATGGTTGACATTGACAGGGTAGGGGATGGTTGACATTGACAGGGTTGGGGAGGAATCCTGTGAGGAGAGAAGGCTGGGTGGTGGGAGAAGAGTTAGTGTGAGGAAGGCAGGGATATGACTCGACACCTTGTTTAGAAGAACTAGTGTGTTGGGGGAGGATGCCTGTTGGATATAGGTAGGTGTGGAAAACCTGGTTACCATGGGGATGCAGGGACAATGTTAGGGGCACCTGTTACATTTGGAGAAGAGGATTGGAGGATGCATGGACTTGAGCAGGAGCATGTTAGGGACACCTGTTACATTTGAAGAGGAGAATTGGGTATGTGGATGGTAAGAGAGGAAAGAAAATGAAATGATGGGAGAGGGAGGGATTGTTGGTGCTCCTCATTGGACTCCACCAACTATTTAGAGACTATTTCATAGACTATTTAGATATGTACACCATACATATTCCACTACATAAATACATGCGGTTTGTAATATGCAGATGTATGAAACACATGCTTTTTATTATACTTGTACATGGTACTAGACATTATTTCCACCACAGAGCAGTGCTGTCTAGAAGGTAACTGCTATACATCTCACTATATGTAGTATATATTAATCTCAAGTCTCTGCCATTGCCCATTCAGTCACATACATACACATCACATTGATGTATTTTCGTGCCATATGTAAAGAAATGGAGGTCAGGGCCTCCTTGTGCATGATGATCTTTGCACCATGATTTTTGTAAGCTTGATACTAAGCATGACTTTCGTAAGACTGATAACAATGACTTATAAATACCTGTGGAGATGAGCTTGTTTATTGGAGGCCCCACAACCCTGTGTGTAAAATTTTTTCTTTGTCTCTCTCCTCTGATCTTTGCATATGCAATCTTACACCTCTTGCCCATTCGTTCACTCATATGTCCGAACACTCTATCACACAGCCGTTGATCCACCAATTCTCCACCAATCTACTCACCCAGTCACTCACTCACACAAACTCACTCACTCACTCACCAACTCATGCACCCACTCAGCCATTCATTCCTGTACTTTGGCTTACCAATAATAAATACATGGCACTTGTTAAATGTTTGGAATAGGACTGTATGACATCAGAGCTATCAATGTGCTTCAGCAACAAGACATATGCTAATGCAGACACAACATAAGCCTTATCACATGGGTGCCATGGGCACTACCATGGAGATGAGAGACCGTAGAAAAATAGAACAGCATGTCTAGGCTATGTCAACGAACTAGTCTGCTACAAGGCATACCATGCACAGAGTGGTGCATATGTAGTCAGGCCAAAAATAGAAATGAAATTTATTACGCAGATATCAAGGGGTGGTGGGGTAGCCAAGAGGTTAAAATGTTCACTAGTCGCTCTGAAGCCCGCGGTGAGTTCCCCCCATGGGTACAATGTGTTATGCCCATTTTTGGTGTTCCCCATTGTAATGTTGCTGGAATATTGCTAACAGTTTCGTAAAAGCATACTAATCATTCACATATAGTAGAATGTATTGATACAATTAACATGTATTAGGATACAGGTCAACACCGTGTACAAATATGCAAATCTGATTAACACCATGTACAAGGTTACTGGTCAATCTGATTAACACCATGTCCAAGGTTACTGGTCAGATTAACACCATGTCCAAGGTTACTGGTCAGATTAACACCATGTCCAAGGTTACTGGTCAGATTAACACCATGTACAAGGTGACTGGTCAGATTAACACCATGTACAAAGATACTGGTCATGGACAAGGGTACTGGTCATGGGGTATTGGTCAGATTAACATGGTGTACAAGGATACAAATCAGATTAATACCATGTTCATGGATACAGAATAGATTAACACCAAGTACAAGTATACTGATTCTCTGTGGAAAGAACATGAAGCTGAACATGTTTATCACTTTGTATCTACAGGAAATTAAACCATGAGGCACTCATAAAATCATGTGTTATTCAATAATGATTCTCAAAAATAATTTAGATACAGCTTGATCAACAACAGGTGTTTAATACAACTATGCCATTAGGAGTCGGTACAAAGGCTTAACTCATGGTCAAGAGTGATCATCTATTTCCTTGTCATAACCATTGACCTTTCACAGGAGTAGAATGGCCTCTTCTCATGGAGGGGCGGTGGGGTAGCCTAGTGGTTAAAGCGTTGGCTCGTCACGCCGAAGACCTGGGTTCGAATCCCCACATGGGTACAATGAGTGAAGCCCATTTCTGGTGTCCCCCGCCGTGATATTGCTGGAATATTGCTAAAAGCGGCGTAAAACCAAACTCAGTCAGTCAGTCTTCTCATGGATATATACTTTTCTTTCATGACTTGAGTAACAAAGTCACCTCTCGAGATCATCTGGCCTTTACTAATGCCTTTCATGCTGTGAGTAAGATGGCCTCCTGGCCAGGAGGTTTACTTTCCTCCCAGGGTGAGACTAAGATGGCCTCCTCTTAAGGAGACCAACTAAATTTCCATGATGAGAGTAAGATCGCCTCCTCTGGCTTTTATGGCTGGAGTAAGATGGATCCTCTTGAGAAGATCTACTGGCCTTTCATAAGAGTAAAATGGCCTCCACTAAGGCAGGTCTATAGAAACAGGAAGGTGTCTACAAAGAGGTATATTGCAGATATAGGAAGAAGTATGTTCAATGAAATATAACAAATCTGTGGATGAATATCATGGAGAATAGTGACTATCGTAATGAATTTCAATGGAGTCTGACATACTGATCACACGTCAGTATTGTAACATGTATACTCAGTGATTACTCAATGGTTTTCTAACACTCATACTATATGACCAGATAATATGGCCTGGCAGATGTTGCTAGGAATACAAACAAGCATTTTGTCCTGATACTATGACATAAAAGTGTCATCTATGGTTCCTGTATCTGTGCTACATTGTGTGTTATAACCATGTATATATATAGTATGTGAACAGATCGGACACACAGTGTATATTGCCCAATTGTTCTAGAGGTATCGTCTTCAGCAATGCTACAGTGTAACTGCATTGTAGATTTCATCAACGAATACATACATTGTACTCTTGTATATTGCACATTGTTCCTCAGAAAGCAGAATCCATTCCCTTATATTGCACATAATCCAGCAGCAGTCAGCAGGATATCAGTAGTTATCATTCATGGCAGTATAATCTATATATTACTCATCAAAATATGATGACTAAAATGGTTTGAACTAATGATCAGCGCCATGAACCATCTTGAATGATGCAGACGAAGTTAACACTGTAACCCTCCAAGATGCTCATGGCACAAACAAGGTGAAGAAGATACTGGCCACCATTTCATGAGCTTGTGAAAATAGTTCAAAGTTGAAGAATCTTTAATTTGTTGAGCAGAATTCTATTCCAATTTTTTGTGCTTGCTGTAAATTTTACCAAGTGAGTTTTGTAATGAGTTCTCCTGTAGCCAGGACTGTGATGCTCTGACATGGAGCACTAACAAATGAACACATCAGATCTGCTCCCAAATATGTACATTTAGAGCATGTCCATCATATTTGGTCTCCTCAGTAGAATAAATATGACAGTTCCAAACACAATTTATACACATTACTGTACTAAATGTACACACATCTGAACCTACACGTACAACATTGTAATAGTCTCAGTTTCATTAGACTGATTTCACATATCCAACATTGTTGCCCAGTACAATATTGACAGTACTATTTTTCTTGTATGCACCACTACAGGTTAGAAGGTATGTCCAGCCTCAGTTACTGAACAGTAACGTTATGTAAAATGGCCATTAGTAGGTAACAAGCTGTAGTCGGATGTTTCAGTCTGACAAGGTGTCACATTCTGACATGTATCAGTAAACATAAATACTGATTTCCACGAATTGTTTTGTGATTCACCACAGTTTATGTAGCATGTACAATGTACTTGTCAAAAGTACCAAGTTTGTTTGACCTTCTGATGAAAATGGTGATTAAAGTTAAGAACTTGCAGATTTTTCTTGCTGCTCGCCTTTGTGGCAAATGAAACTGTTTGCTCTACCACTGCCTGGTGTTGAGATGTTGAGAGGTGCTGACACAGTTTGTGTTTATCCCGGTACTCATTACTCCCTGCCTGTGTCTCACAGATGGCACACATGATAGATCTGACCGAGATTCTCAGACTCCTGTTTCATAGATGTTTCTCACTTTCCCATTTGGCACAGCATTGGGTGCATAGTTGTGAGGTGGCAACCAGACCGACTTCTCCTGGGCGCTGTAGTAGGGGATGTTGTCATACTGTGCCTGACATGTGTTGTCCACGTCGTAGTCTTCTGGAGGAGGAGGAGGCAGATCAAACTGGTTGTTCAGCTTCATCTCTTCGTCAGGACTACGGAATGTGGACAGTGGTCTTGCAGGTGAGTCCAGAGGTTGCCCTCCATCGTACCGGGGTATTTGGATGGTCTCTGGTTTGGTTGGAGAGTCGAGTATTGGTGGTGGAAACTCTTCATTTTTCTCATTTCCTTCTCGGTCAATGACAGACTCATCTGAACCTGATGGAAGTGGTGTTACCATTGCTACAGGCTGAGAGAATGTGACACTCTTGCTGCGTGTTTTTGGTGGTGGACTTTTATTGCCTTTCTTATTGATGACAGCATAGTAGTTTGGAGGTTGAGTTAAAGTGCGGTTTCCAGCAGCACTGTCAATCTCTTCTCGCAGAGTGAGGTAATCACGAGGAGGAACACTCATGAGGGGTTCTGTTTGGTGTCCGTCTGGACTGCCATTGTAAGGGGGAGGAGGGGCAGGAAGATCTTCATCTTCATCCTCTTCAGGTTTGTTAAATTCGTCTGATCCCAGTACCACATTCTTATTTGGGTTGTAGTCATACTGGGAAGATACCTTCAATGGACTCCGACTGATTGAGCAGTAGTGGTCATCATCGTAGTCATAGCGACAGTAGGATGCAACATCCAGCGATGGCGTCGGACTCATGGCAGGGTACATCTCCACTCGCTTCACTGGTTCCTTCGCTCGACGCATCCTACAGCAGAAATACCATAATGACCATCTCTACAACAATGTGGGGTGCATACTCAGATTTAATGGAAGCAACATGATTGGTGTGCTATGTTAATAATAAATAGGGCCTCTCAAAAACATATAATGTAGTCAAAAGTTCCAGCCAAAGAGAACTCTAATATAGAATTATGTTGAAATGGATAATGATCGTCACATGTGACAATGAAAGCGATGTTTACAATAAATATTTTGAATTAATGGAATGGAGGAATGCTTTTAAAACCTGTGAGTTCCAATTAAATACAAGACCACTTTACATCTTTAAGAAATAAAACTGGAGGTTTGAATTATATGATTCTAAATATGTTAAATGTGAATTATTATTTTATAATTTTAGGCTTTTTTTTTAATAAAGATGTATTCATCATATTTCATACACAATGCACCAGATGATCTGACCAATCACCATGCAGGTAAAATATGGAAATAAAGCATGAATTGCTCCTGGTCAGATTAGCATGAATTCTGGCATGGGAGGTGACTCCGGCCAATAAAGATCTACAGTTATTCTATTGTAAGAATTGTAATGTGTCTCTATAAGCAAGGTAACTGTATACTTGTGTACTTGAATAAACAACTACATAATCCATATTGTTCAGTATTCAACATTTGTGTCTCTGTCTTTGAAAGTTTGGTAAGATCAGATTTCCCCACGACCTGTGCTTGTTGTAATAGGTGATTAAATCTTTTGGTATGGCAGACTCGATTAGTTAGTTATGTGTCATTATCAATTACATGGATTGATGCCCATGATACCAATCTCTGATTGTCTGGACTCAGATATTTACAGACCACCCGTATGTAGCAGGAATATTACTGAGTGTGACATTAAAGAATAAACAATATGGCATAAAATACTACGTGTATGCAAACCATTACCTCCGGCAGTGTACAGCGATGGAGATGATGAGGATGGCGAAGATAACAAACGATGCAGCCACGATTCCTCCAACAATGGCAGCTAAAACACAATGACAGCCTGGTGATAAATAGGTAGGTACAAAACTTAATAAATTTAATATTTAATTAATATAAAATGAAACTCAATACTTTAATATGTATTTTATTGATCATTTATAACAAAGTGGCTGTAATCGTTGTAAACTTCCAGTGCTGTTCCAGGCAGGTGTACCGCTAACATGTAAGATCGTACTGACGAACTGAAAAATACTTTCGTGAAATTATATCTCATTGATAAGCCGACCCCCTTCTACAGACTGCTTTTTGTCCTCAAAATTCGGCTTATCTACGGTAATATATGGTACACAGGTGACGATCTGATACATGTCGTACCTTGGCATTCCATTGCATGTATTGGTTAAAACGAAAATGGGAACAGATTTCTGTGAACATGTTTTAAAGACCCCAAGCTTTTATTATCTGTGTAACATTGGATCTCCTTGGTATTTTAATTTCAAAGGAGAATAAAAGATTATGTTATTGTAAACTGACACAAATGGGTAAGTTAAAAACACATGTCAAGTATAGAAATGGAAAATGAAACAGATATCTACTGTTGGGATTGTGATAGTTTGACTCACCCATGTCAGATGTAAGAGGGAATATGGCTGCTGAAGGTGATTCATTTTCAGGCCAGCGAGGTGTGACAGTGCTCAGCTTTTCATTAGAACCTTCAGCTTTAGTTCGATCCCTTGATTCAGCATCTTGGTATGGCTTGGCAAGGAGGCGTCTGAGTGCCTCCCCACAATACACGTTCACAAAGTCTTTTGATTGTTCAGCTAGAAGAAGAAAGAAAGAAAATATAGCTACTCTGATCAACAGTTCTTTTTGATAACAAGAAATAAAAGATCCTTTTTTTTATCAACAGGTCTACTTAATTTAATGACAGGATGGAGTACCTATTTTTACTGATCGGCAGCTATATTAGATGACATGCAGGAGATGACCAATCCTCAACATAATTATTCAAACTCTCAGATTGGAGTCATCTAAGGCTCTGCATTATTCCATCTTCCATTCTAGTTTATCCAGTCTATTTTGTACTATTATATAAATGTACCCATGAAGATCCGGGTTAGAATATTGATCTTCAGTAACCCATGGTTGTCGTAAGAGGTGACTAATGGGATCGGGAGGTCAGACTCGCTGACTTGGTTGACACGTCATCGGTTCCCAATTGCACAGATCAATGCTCATACTGTTGATCACTGGATTGTCTGGTCCAGTAGGGCTTTGTATTTAATGAGGTACTTGTAGAATAATGGCTTCCCTTGCTTGTTGATGGTGTGATTGTAAAGAGGCAAATACAGGAAGAAAAAAGAAATTTGGCATGGTTGATATAGGTTAAATCTTACAAAAATAGTTTTGGAACTAAAGTTCAGAAAGAAATTATGTTGAAACTAAGTGTAGGTCCAAACAGAAACAGTTAGTCTACTTTACATCTACTATATCTAAAGAAAAAATGTATTGCCTGTGTACAGTATAAAACCTTTTCTCCTATTTACCTTTAATCTGGAACCACACGTAAGCAGTTCCACGATCTTGGCTGTGGCTCTCCAAGCTGATGGTGACATTCCGTGTGGACCGTTCATACAGAGCTCGGAAGCCATACAGTCCTCGGTGGCCACAAGTGATCTGCTTCTTATAATTGAAACTGTCTTCAATCTTGATGAGCTCAGTACAGGTTCGGCCTCCATACTCTGACATGGCAATGAGAATGTCAATGGAGTGGAGGCTGATGCCGCGGGACTGCTCTGTCGTGGCTAGGCAGGAACATCTATGTTTGTTGCCGCGGATAGACGCTGGGTATTCTTTGTTAGCTATGTACAACTCCTTCCCTCGCTTATGTGTATCAGAGCAGAAACTCGCAATATCAACATCTGCAACAGTGATTGAAAAACTGTGATCAGTACTTCTTCAAATAACATCTGGAGGTTGAATGATGAACAAGGGAGATAATTCAGTGGCTATACATCTTACTTGCTTGATAACAGTGTAGACCTAAACCAAAATGTCTTGTTAAAAAGAAGTTGTATAGCCTTAGAATTGTTGCACTTGCTTATCTAATATGAAACTGCTACATGTGCAGATATTAAATGTGAAATGGTCACTGGCAGAACTCACTAAACAGACAGTTAAAGGTCACATGCAACGCAAAACACAACTTTGCAGATTCTGCTACCTTTCGGATGGGATTACAGTAACAAATTATCAAAAATACAAATTCAACTTATAAAGTTGGAAAAAAACGATTCACTAATTTCACCCCAGCGCTGGGGTGAAAAGTGGTTTCAACAGCTGTGCTGCGCTGCGCCCACAGCAAGTGATGCGTGCAAGGATTATTGCTGTGGTCGAAGTTGGAGAACATAAGATGTATCTTGTGATTACAAGCATCTTTGGTCTGCAGTAATAAAAATACACTGGTCCCATACTTTTTCTCATATGTTTTCATATCTTGCTTTTTGGGGGGTTGGCAGATTTGCAAACCAAGTTTTCAAGAAAGTGTAGCATTAGAAATACTAATTTCTGTTTTAAAAATTGCTCAGCTTGAAAACTGAAATGTTTTAATACATGTCTATGGAAACATAGAAAAATATGTTGATTGTGATAAGCAGTCTCTGTCACAGACAAAATGTCTGTTTTATTGACACCTATGTGTCTGCCTGCCTGTCTGCTAATGACAATATGCAATACACAACTTCAATCATTGACCACATGCAATTTGAACTTGAAACGTATCAGGCTATACACCATAAACAAAATACATTGATTTGTGGCTCGTGTTCCTGAGTTCTGTCTCTGTCATATTATGTAATTACACAGACATGCAGGTGTGATACTTGTACACATGACATGTTATTGTCTGTAGGTTGCAAACAAACTGCATCCATTTTTCTCGGATGACTGGATCGGACGGAAACCAGTGCAAACTCAGATTGAAAGGTTTCAAGTCCTGCTTTGTACTTGGACGAACGACAGTTTCCAGCCACGCAGTAAGTAGTTGACAACTCAGTATTTGTTGATTGGATCAAACACAAATGCAGAAAAAATGAGCATGTATTTACACTTGAGTGAACACCCACCCGCTCTGCCTGGGTTCAGTCTCCCGGGTGCTCCGTTTCGAGGGAAGTAAACCCAAGTACAAAATATTGCACTTTTGATTTGCGATTGTACGCTTATTATTTTGTTTATTTGTCTTTTTCAAATAATGAGCAATGTATACTATATGTCGTGAATAAGTAATAATTGTGTTTTAATTATGTTTGTTTTTTTGGTTGCATGTGAACTTTAATATGATGGTAAACAGATAGTGAAATATTCCTGTTGTACAAGGGAAGTAACTCTTGTTTCATTGTCTGTTCCAGTTCTTATTGGCCCACGTCGCCCTAAAACTATAAAACCAAACCTCTGTTCCAGTTGGCAGTTCATGATTAATACAGCTAATACAACATGACTGATTCATTCCATTGGATTAAAATCCAGCCTCTGTGATATTTTCTCTGAGTTTTCTTACTTCTTGTGAGTCAATTATTATGCAAATGTTTTATGACTTAATGTGTCAGATTTTAAGGCTGCTTTTAGCGGTATTCCAGTTATATCACAGCTTTTCATCTCAGTGTGGAAGGAAAGCCCAAGGTGATTCAGGGATTACATATTTACTAATTTGGGGAACCAACAATTACAGGTAAGGTGCTGTCAAACATAATCAGATGGAAAGGGGATTCAAACACACAACCACAGGTGTCTGGCATGGCCAACAGAAACAACTCAGCGCCTCAGTAGACTGGCCCAACCTTAGGATTTATGAAATGCAGAACAGTTGCAACAGCATTTATAATTTTAATTGTATTTTAAAAAACATATGTTATAAATTTAATGAATTGTGTATTTGTACAAGAGTTCAAAAAGAGTTTGTGTTTTGATATTGCTGCCGAAATACATTCTTTCCATGTGTGTTAAATCAGCTGTTTAAAAACTGGTCTGAAATTCAAGTCAAGCGTCATTCTGTCTTATAAGCTCAGGTAATGACAGTCTAGTTTTTCTTTAACTAAATAAGCTGAACATTATGCCTAAAGGCAAGTTTGGGCTGGTTGAAAGTTTTTGTCACAGGCTGGATGTTAATAGGTTCTGTCTGACATCAGTTGCAGAATATTTCTGTAGCCCAAGGGAATTAACTCTTACTACCTTGCATGTCTCTTATCTGGAGATGATATTACCTCGTAGCAATCTGGTTCAGTGCTTTCAAAATAATTGTGTAAATAACAGGAAGTTTACATGAATAATTTGTAAATGAAATTCAGTGTTTTGAATGCTGTCATTATTTTAATGTGGTTTGATTGAGATGATAACTGTTAACACGGTGAATGAAAGTCTGACAACCCTGTCAAGGATAATTTGATTTCTTATTCATTTTCATTTCCCTTGAAATTAGTTGATTTGGTCTGGGAAACGGAAGTAGGAAGTTGTTTATTGATTCCTGCTGCTGTGACGTAGGTACAATAACATGACAGCTTGGTGAAAATACAGTCCTTATGTTGAGAGAAACTTACGATTTCACACACCTAATTTATCTAATAAGCCTGTGTTAAGTATTGTAAACAAGGTAGGGTTCTAAGGCACTGTGTGAAAGCTGACGAAAATACATAGGGTTGTGATTACATTTAATTTTAAAATATGGTAGGAAGGGATTTCTTTTAATCCTTTCAACCATAATAAGACCTACTGTAATCATTACATATAAATGTGTGGTATATAAATTTTTCATGACCAGTGAGTATACTACATACTTCACATATCCCAATTGAGGTTATTGGGGAAATAGGAGCAAATCCACAGATGTTGTGGGGTTGCCTTTGTGGGTGGTGAATAAAAAACTGGTCATTCAGCCAACAGGCTTTGAGGTATCATGTTGTTTCTGATTACCGTACATGCTTCATATCATCATGATGTTTGCTATTTATTTAAGTGACAAAGTATTTGATACACACTGGCGTCAGAATCTTTGTTGTACACAGGGATGGTTCTAATGCCATATTGATAAACTCAGAGAAGTCAACATTATCTGACACTGGCTTATCCGACTACTTCTATAGCTAGGTTCTTGAAAACTGTGGCCATTCTGATATTTACTACTGCTATATTGTCATCTGTTTGAAATTGGGGCAAGTTTTCTCAAAAACTGTTTTAATCAAAGAAATGAAATTGAATACAATGATGGTACTGGTCACAACCTAAAATGAGTTTCCATTGGTATCTAATGTAAATTTTTGACAGAGTTATGGCCCTTGTTCTATGCTTTTCAACTCTGAGCATGCCAAACGAAACAAAAACAAGATTTCTCTGAAACTATTGAAGTTATATGAATGAAACCTTGTATTCTTAAACAAGGCTAGTCAAGACCTAGATATTTTGTTTCATACTTTGATTATACCTGTGAAGATCTGGGTTAGAATTGGTCTTCAGTAACTCATGCTTGTTGCGACTAAGGGGATCAAGAGGTCAGGCTCGCTGACTTGGTTGACACATGTCATCGTATCCCAACTGCATAGAATGATGCTCATGATGTTGATCACTGGATTGCCTGGTCCAGACTGGATTATTTACAGACCGCCGCCATATAGCTGGAATGTTGCTGAGTGCCATGTTAAACAACAACCAACCAATCATACAATGATTAACCTGACCTATTCTACTTTAACTGCTAAGATTGTTGTATGACTGCTATCTTTTGAACACTGTTGCTGTCCTACAGCCACTACTCCATTGAACACTGTGACTGTTCTAGGGGCGGTGGGGTAGCCTAATGGTTAAGGCGTTCGCTCATCATGCCAAAGACCTGGGTTCAATTCCCCACATGGGCACAATTTGTGAAGCCCATTTCTGGTGTTCCCCTGCTGTGATGTTACTGGAATATTACTGAAAGTGGCATAAAACTAAACTCACTCACTGTGACTATTCTAACAGTGAGTGAGTATGTTTTTACGCCGCTTTTAGCAATATTCCAGCAATATCACGGTGGGGGACACCAGAAATGGGCTTCAGCGTGACGAGCAAACGCTTTAACCACTAGGCTACCCCACCGCCCCTACTTTCTAACAACTGCTACAAAACTCCACACTGTGGCTGATCTAATCACTACCTTGTTCAAGTCAGGTTTATCATATCACCTCCACTTTGTCCTACTCTGGGGTGTATCTTATCACTGCCTATGTTTATGATACTGTGATCTTTCAACAATGTTACAACTTGTTTGCATTGAGGAAATTCTGAGCAACAACTTTTGGTGTTTGTTGTCTGACCCTTGGCAACTAATCACATTGCTATCACAAGCACTCCTTCCTCGCAAGACAATTGTTGGATGTGTATGGATGCCTCCTGTAGATGGTGTAGACTGCTGCTGCTGACTTAACCTTGTGTCTGTGTACATAACATACATTGTACAGGTGTAAAGTAGCACCATTTGTTTATAGGAGGTCATCCTCAACCATATGTTCAGGGAACATCAAAGATGGCACTGATGTCAGCACAAGCTGAGCTATCTCTTCATTGCTCCATACAGACAGTTATAGCTTCACTTTGTGAAAGTCTGTTTCTGAAACTCTGGGAACTTTATGCTCTTCAAGGCATTGAGGTCATGAGGAACAGTAAGGGATTAATTCTGAGCAAGATTATTAGTTTAATGAGGACACATTCTTTGGTTAAATCTTGGAAAATGAGCTGAAGTAAAATTAAACTTGACTGCTTAAGTAGTCTATAGAATGTGGAGTGAAGCTGTTGTTTGCATGTTTAGAAGTAGTTTACCTCTCCTTCAGTTTGTAACATCATCTGGTTGTGATAATGAATATTTACAATCATCTCATTTATGATCAAATTGTAAAATTCTCACCTGTCACACGTGGATGTGATTATTAACATGTTTACATACTTTAGTGAATAATTATGAGGTGCCCCTCCTCATAACAAGTACTTCAGTACAAGGTGGTTTGATTTAACATCTCTAATACAATAGTTGCTTGTTTCAGCTCACCTGGTATTCTGAATCATAGTTGATTTAAAACTCACCTATATTGCTGCATGATAGTGGTTGGTTTATCTCCCCTGTGTATACAATGTAACACATGCATCAGCTGCTTGTTAATTAAACTTACATACTGCTTGCTGGCATAACTATCACACATTATCTTGCCTCGCACATAAATGTTGTTTTCTGATTGGCTGAGCGCTCTTCTATTATTTTCAATGTACCCCGCTGATGTTTTGCGAATGCAAATAGATGGAAGGGAGATAACTATAAATTTGTTTTTCTTTTCGTCTTGTCCTCTATGATCCGATGCCCTTGCTTCAAACAGTTCAAAATTACCATTGAGGTGTTCGGTAAGATAAATACGTTGTTCACTGGTCCCTCAGGGCCCATGGGTTGATGTACCCTTGATGTTTCTTTATGTTCCCCTCGCCCTGAGCCCGAAGGGCGAGGGGAACATAAAGAAACATCGAGGGTACATCAGCCCATGTCCCCTTCAAGACCAGTGAACAACTTATATTGTTCTGAATGGTGTTAGGGGCGATGGGGTGGCCTAATGGTTAAAGCGTTTGCTCATCCGATGAAGACCCAGGTTCGATTCCCCACATGGGTACAGTGTGCGAAGCCCGCTTCTGGTGTCCCCGCCATGATATTGCTGGAATATTGCTTAAAGCGGTGTAAAACCATACTCACTCAGTCTGATTGGTGTTTGAGTGTACTATACTTTTATGTATAGTAACATATGTCATATTTAGGGATTGGTGCTTTTGGGGGGACTGGTCTGACAACTGGTACTCTAGATCACATACTTCATGTACCCCTTTGACAGGTATAAATTGGCACTGTGACGTATGGTAGTTACTTTTTAAGCTCACCTGGAATGATTTGCCATAGTTCCTTGATTTAGCACACCTGATGTTAAAGTAGATTTATTTGTTGTTGGTTTGTTGTTTAATGCCGCACTCAGCAATATTCCAGCTATTTGGTAGCGGAAGGGTAGATTTAAGTTACCCATCATCATGATGATGATGAATTTATGTTGTGCCAGAGTTCCAACTAAAATGGTAAAATGCTGAAGTGTTGGCTCACCTGCTATGCAGTCATAGATGATGGTCATAAAGTCAGTGGTCTTCTTCAGACACTGTCCACCAGTGGTGACCTTTCTGACCGTAAACTTGCAGGCAGGATAGCCAGAACACTGGGTGTTGATGTCCAGGTAGGACTGTTCCCTGTTCACAATGCAGTCTGTGTGTGACGCGGAGCAGCAGTCACGCCGGGTGCGGCGCTGTCCCACACAGGCTGGATCCAGCTTCACACCGAAGAACAAGCGTTTGATGGCTATACGGTGTCCTGCTCCACAGTCCAGCTTCAGTTCCTGCTCATTACAACCACTGGCGTAGATGTTCTGTCTGCCCTCGCCACGCACTGCAAAATAGGTTTTGGAAATAGTTAAACATTGTAAGCAACAGATTCATGAATTGGGTATCACCAAAATGGTCAGTGCTCAATAATGTTAGAATACCTTCCTCTCTTTGGGCTATCCAAACACATCAAGCTGTGATTTAACTGTTTAAAGTGGTGCTACCACTCGCTCACTCACTCACTCACTCACTCACTCATTTCATAGTACAATGACAATAAGTATGTTTAATGAGGGGAAAGTGTTAGAATACCACCGTCTGATCTTTTCAACTGGATATCAATAATGGATTAAATTATAGCTACTGTATAAACTGGTCTACTAAATATCAGTATTGGATAAAACTTTAAATACTGTCTAGACTGCTCCACCGACTCTGGACTACAGTATTGAATTAACTTTGAATACTTCTGTCTATATTGGTCTTGTGAGACACCAGTGTAACAGTTACCGAAACAACTCTTAAATTCTATGAAAGGATACCATTCAGTTATCGCTTACATTCAGCAGTGATCTCTATTGATCTTCTCTTCCACTGAATGAATATGGGTGAAATCATAGCTATCTTAACCACAGTAACTTAGCATGTAAGTATGAAGAATGTTTGTTCCATCTAGACATTTGTAGGAATATATGAATATTCCTCATCCTGATGATGGTGTGATGGCCTCCCATCCCCAACACCAGCCTTCTGAAGCGTGGTGCACTACAGAGAGATGATAATGTGATTAGCCAGCGTCTTGAGGAAGTCAGGGTAATGTGCATTCCAGACAAATCAGGGCAATTGCGGGACTCTGTCACTATTATCAGCTGCTTTATTCAGATAGATGCCCATCGGACAATGGAAGCAGGATGACATTTGACGGACTGCAGCCTGACATGCAGCAGACACTACACAATCAGCTGGAACTGCAGATGAATCCTCATATTGATAATTCGCTTCTACGCGGTGACGTGTTGAGTGTCCACATCTAGTTATTAGTGGACTTTATTGTTGATTTGGCTGAAAATAGGATAATCTTCTTCCATCAATCACATGTTTAACAATGTTTAACTTCTTTACTTATTCTGCTCTACAGAGCTCATCATGCTGAAGATTTGGTTCCATCCCCACATGTGAAATGTGGTATAGAGTGTATGGACCTTTACCTTGTGGTATTTATGTACACCTAGACTTGCACAAGTCTCTAATATAATAATTAATGGTTAATTTCTAAAAAAAATCAATAAATATCCCTCTAACAGACTGGCATACTTGTACTGTCCACTTATCTAGACTTGCCTCTTAAAGGATAGAATTACTATACATCCATGGGCTTAGCCTTGTACACCTTGTAGACTTGATATTGTTCAGTCCTGCAATGTTTGTTGTCAGAGTTAACCTATACATTGATCAGTGTCCATATTGTTCAGTTAATCCATGCCTGCTGTAGGAATTAACAAATATGCTTTTCGTCTACCAAGTGTTAGAAAAGGCATGTGTTGGAGACTTGAATAAACATGCTTATAGTTAAACAAAACTTAGCCCAGTAAATCAAAACTTAGTAATTGGTGATTAAATTACCAGAAATAAACTCTGTTCATCTAGCTTAAAATGAACAGAAGTTTGTGTTGTAACAATTGCACCATATCAACACACAAAATGGCGCCATCAGAGACCAGATAATCTATTACATGGTCTCTGGTGCCATGCACTGGAGTTCTACACAACCAAGCATCATATGAAAATCAGCAGAACACAAACATATTTTCACTGCTAATATATACGGTAGGGATTGTGTGTATGCTGCTGATGTTTTTCATTCGCTTTATGGAGTCTCTTACCTTAGCAGACAACTTTGCATGCTATGTGGCAGATAAATTGCTGATTTTTTGTTTGGGTTTGAGGATGTATTTGTGTTTAAGTTCGGGTCCATAAAATTATTGTTTAGTCACACACAAAGAAATTGACTTTGAAATATATTTTAACAGTATTTTATTATTTTGTCATGTGGCAATGTGGGAGAAAAGCCTTAACTGGAGATAGATGATTATGACAGAGGTAAGTTGCTTACGAAAGTAAGGGTTATTCTCATTGTTTGCACCATGTACCATCTTATATTGCCAGCTGAGGACATCATTGCACTCTATTTGAAGCACCTTATAACACTACCAGCACCTACAGCACCCTGTGACTTGTGTTTGGGAAGGTTGAACTGAGTGGCATGGTGCAACCAGGTGGTCTGTTTCTTATGGCCAGGATTTATTGCTGATCAATGGTAATTATCATCAGGATACAGACATTTATTGTTCTGTAATGTGAGCATGAAATGAGACATTGTTTTCGTCATTGATCTTGTGATAATTTGAGGTTACAGTAACTATAAACACTTGTTGTGGCGCTCTTATAATGTCTTGGGCTGTTGATAGGATATACTGAGTTTGAAATGTCCTCAGTATTGGAGCAGGCTACAGACATCATGCCAGACACAGAAAGCCAGACTCCAAGAAAATTGAGGTCGAGGCATTTGAGAGCAACAAGTGGGTCTCTGGTGGGAGTCAGCCTGGAAGTAGATATATATTGATCTTTTCACTGCTTCTCTTCTCCGTCCCATGGCAGCTCCCACACTTTCAACTGGTTAGTCCACTAACTCTCCACCTCGAGATCCTCTGAGGGAGCTGCCTCAGCTGGAACACTTAATTTTAACCATGGTCTCCATGGTACATAGAAACTGTATCAATCTGCCCTACATTTTTGACAAGACATAATTAACTTGATCCATCTATCTTACTTTATTAACATATATCTGGTAAACTTTCTGACCTCAATAAAACTCCAAAGTCTATCCATCTTTTACTCCTCTTGTTATTGTAATTTTATTCATCAGTTTCATGTAGAAGAGTATTGTTTCTAGTCATCTATTATTGTTCTGCACCTGTTTACTATCCAGTGTGTCCTTGACCATCCTTGGGTAGCTCAAAATGAATCTTTCATCTGGTCAACATCCAACTTAAATACACCAAATGAATGATGAGCTGATAATAAACTTGATGTCTACAAGGGGTCCATTATCTTTAAACTTATCTGCGATGTCAAAAGCTGACTGCTTCTGACAGCAGTCAACAGTAACATGTGATACTGACATGTTCATGCACCTCCATGGCAGTTGTGGCTGGGCACCAACATCAACACGAACATAAGGGTTGACATAACTGTTGATAGCAAGTGATGTTTCTTACCAAACACATCCTGGCCTACAGGTGTCTGTAAGTGATGTTTCACATCACTCAGTGCCTCATAGCATTCATGATAATGCTTCATATCACACTCATGCTGATTTATACCACTTGCAAGTGTTGCTTCATAACACACACACATACATGATGCTTCGTACCTAGCCTTGCTCCAAGCCTTTACTGAATGCTGAGCCCATGGATGTACAGTAATTCTATCCGTTAAAGGGGCAAGTCTAGTTAAGAGGACAGTACAAGTTTTAGGACCCCAGTCTGTTATTTATTTTTTTCAGAATGTTCATTTAAACTATTAATTATTACCTTAAAGACTTGTGCAAGTCTACTTCATACCCTCAGGCATGTTTTGCTTTCACATCTTAAACAAGTGTTCCAACTCTGTGCAGGCAGGAATTGCTGCCAATCAAGGAAAACACCCAGGTAAGCATTAACACAACTAATTATGTACTGTTTAAAAAGCAGACCATGTGTTATTCAGAAAGGTCAACATAGTCATCTCACAAACCATAAAGAGAGATTTTCATAAGCCATGGAGAAATCAGAATGATATTATTTTGTAATTTACCAATATCCCACAAATCACTCTGTGTACAGACATAAAACTTTATTAGCCTGCGTGGAGGTTGCAGTGGCTGACTTTATCGGCATTAGTCACCGAAGTAATCAAGTTGGCCACTCTGGGTGTAAATATCTTCATACAGTAACATTTCCACAAGGCAAAAACTTAATTATGGTTGTCAGATTCAGAGGAAGATTGACAGACTGGCCTGGTGTGTCGTTTACAATCTGATAATTGCTGTGAGGATAATCAGAAAGTCTTTCTTCATGTTAGATGTAAGCGCAGATTATAATGCTGCTCAACCTCGCATGTCAGTTTTGACAAACTGGGTGAGGTACATCCTTAATTTGTGTGAAAGCTATCTGGCCTGTATATGGACTCAGTCTGTCCTTACTGCAGTGGGAAATGTGCACGAATACATTTTGTTTCCACATAGCCAAACATAATTCAAACCACTAGAAAATCTTTGCACATATATACAGTATCTCCATGAACCCACCCAATCCTGCCCAACCCCACCCCACTTGATCCTACCATGACAAGACCCTCACACAACATGATGCTTACCCGAAAACCCACATGACTTCATTTCAATTGCCGGACATTGGCATTGTTTGTTCATAAACATACAGCAGATCCGTATGAACATATTTCAGTTCATCCCCCCTCTTCGCAACAGCTGCACAATATTCTTACAGTAGATATTCAACCACCCAATATCAAGCACAGCAATGGACAGTAGATTTACAGAAAGCCTCACAGCCCCAGTAACCGACTGTAGACATACAATCACCTTCAGTTTGTTTATTTGTTGTTAAATGCCGCACTCAGCTCATTCCAGCTTTGTGGCGGCAGTCTGTAAATAGTCAAGTCTGGATCAGACAATCCAGTGATCAACAGCATTCAGCATCAATCTACACAATTGGGAGATGACGTGTCTACAAAGTAAACAATAATGATCGACCGATCCTGTTAGTCGCCTCTTACAACAAGCATGAGTTGCTGAAGACCAATTCTAACCAGGATCTTCACAGATTAATTAAATTCAGCCCCCATAGATATGCAACATGTACAGGGTAAACCAGGGTCCATCCAGAACAGAAGAGTGATGTACAGTACTAAAACATGTCTTCTATGGGTAGCTTCGTGCAAGTCTCTCTTCAGAAAACCGTGTGAGGAACCCATTCTGGATGGTCCTGCTCAGTTCGATATATC